AATGGTTTGCAATGTCAAGGGAGAAAAGCCTCTCCAGTGTCTCCACGGGGGGAACAGCCCCGTCTTCCCAGCCGGCCCCGGGGTTGCCAGCTCTCTCCCTGCCCTATCTGGTTCCCAGGGCCAGGCTGGTTCTCTGGGGCCGGCAGAGACAAACAAGGTTTGCATTTGTCCCACCTGGAGTGCAACTGAATAAAATAAAGCCAGCGCTGGCACAGGACCCTTGGCCCGAGGCCTGCAGGGGGCGGGGGAGTGTCCTCTGCCCCATCCCCCACACAAGCCCCCCTTTGTCAGGAGCACAGAGGTGCCTTCACACTGTTTTTTTCCAGGGGCCATCGGGGACTACCCATGGGACTACTGGGTTTCAAAGTCTTACAGAATATTCAAGAACTCATTTACGTATCAAACAACAAATCTTTATTCTTCCTCTCTGAGGCCAATTTAAACACACATGAAGAATATTTTCCAAGGAAACAATCTGTTTTCATGTGTCACGTCCGAAGACCCCACTAATTCTTTTTCTTTGGGTCATCCTTTATTTATTTTTTTTCTGCCAGTCTTGCTCTCAGACATTCTCCTCAATCCTTCCGTGCATTCCTTCCCGGCTTCCCATCCTTCGCAAGCTTCCTGCTTCCTGCCTGTGGCTGCCCTCTCTGGCTCCCCACCCACGGTCCCTCTTATCCTGTCAACAGCCAGCAGCACCTGCCTCATTAGAGTCCACACGGGGCTCAGAGTTGGAGCAAGTCCGACCTTCCACAAGGGGCTCCTCCCCGACACACAGGTGGGCAGACGCCCGCCACGCTTCCCATTATCCTATTATTCTGAAACTCACACCCAGAAAAGTCCAGCAGGGACGCTGCCTATACACAGAACACAAATGACTCTCAGGGTACAGAATGGAATCTATGATAAGAAGAAGGAGCATCACGGGGCTCCCAGATGCTCTGTAAGAAGGTCGTGAACCCACCACACACACACCAGAAGGCTGGGAGGCTGCTTCTCCCCACCCCACAGGAGAAGCATATCCTGAGCCCCGTGCAGGACATCCTTTGCTCCACGCCCTCCTTTCCCTTTCCACGGCTGTAGGAGCACCTGACAAAAATATGAACATTAGCAAGAGTGACAACAGTAAGCCCTCGAACTTAGACTGTTCTAAACTTATGGACCATTTTCACACGCATAAACTCACTCAGTCCCCAAAACACCTAGAAGCCACGCTGCCTCCCCACTGCCCTCCACAAGCTTCTGATATTAGTACAGGGAGGTCTGTTCTAAGTCACGTCCCTGTAAATCTTTGCCCCAGAAGCTGGTACATATTTCATTGATTCCATAAGGCCTGTTTTTTTTCACATTTTAACATCTCTGCAATTGGGATGCATTTTACTGTTGACAGCACGTCATTATTTGGGGCAGCATTTTTACTTCCTTAGAGATTCATAAAATGATGCTCCTAATAATCGACACATTTTGGATGTGATGAAATAATGCCAAATGCATCAGTACACAGGATCTCACAGCAGCGGAGAGAATGCTGTCCAGAGTATGTCCTTGGGGCTCTCTCTATGCCCTGCTCTGCCCAGCCACACTGTCGCCAGAAGGCAGAGGGACTTGTAGAAGGGAGAGCAGGCCCGCCCCATCTAGAATAAACGCAGCCGCACATACTTCTTGATAGGAAGCCCTTCTTTCTCCCCAGGCCCAAACTTAGGAGTCTAAGTCAGGCTCAGTATAAAAATGAATGTGCTTACATGGAGATATAAGAAAGGCTAGAAATGTTTCTTCTCCAAAGAAGAGAACATTGTATTAACTTACAGGCACATCTGAAGTTTCAGATATACATAAGAAGCAAAGCTCTAGCCTCCGTGATACTAGTTTATACTACTGATTACTACTAATATGTTTTCAGATGCATCTCAATTAACATTTATAACATGCTCCCTTCGTGCTAGGCTCTGGGCTGGATGTAAGGAATAAAAAATATGAATAAACACGTCGGGTGTCACTAAGGTCGTCAGATCAGCAAAAGAAATAGAAACAAAAATAACAAGCAGGTAATAAATACATAAAATATTACGAGACTACAAAAGTAGGAATGGTTGATTCTGCCTGAGAAATAAGAAAAGATTCTGAGGAAAGGGAGGACATCGAAGCCAGGGCCGAAGTCGGCCGGAGGAAAGGTGGGAGCTGTGCACATCCTGCACCACTGCACACCGCATCCCTGGGAGGTGGAAGGTGGGTCCCAGCAGGTGATGCTGGGAAGGCAGAATGGGCCTGATGAGCCAGACTCCGGAGTCTGCACTTTATCTGTGGGTTAGTTTTTAAAGATATCAGTTATAAGATTTGTTTTCCTGAAAGACAATTTCCCAGGAGCATGGGGAGACCGTTCACCTGAACGGGGATGTGGGGTTCAGCTATGTCGGGACGGGGCGGGCGGCGGGGGGACCATGGAGATGAGAGCTCTCGACCAGTATCTGAGGAGAAGGAAAGGAGACTCCTGGGAACACACGGCTGCTGTCCCCCGGGCCCGCCCCCCACCATTCCTGGCCGCCCTTACGTGGAGTCCAGCAGGGTCCCGTCCAGAAGCGAGGCGTTGTAGTGGTACTTGAGGTAATCCCCCTTCTTGCTCAGCACCGAGCAGTCGGGGGGCTTGTAGTGGGAGGTGACGCTGATGGAGTCCGCGGGGTTGTGGAAGTCGATCACGTGGATGTCAAACACCAGCACGGCCGAGCCAGGGATGTTCCCTAAAAGACAGACACAGGAATTCACGAGGGCGCCCTCCAGGCGTCACCAGTGAGGAACACGGGTGCCCAGCTTGAAACCCTGGGGGATACTGCGAGAGTGAAACAACCTAACCCTCATTTCATACATGGGGAAACTGAGGCACAGATTCGCCCAGGGTCACGTAGCCCATGAGGAGCACAGTTCGGACTGCAATTCAAGACGATGCGCTACTGCCCCCATGGGATTGAGACTGAACGATTTACAGGACAAGTTCATCACAGATGAGAAAACTAAAGCCCAGCCAAAGTAAGACTTGCCCCAACTCCTACCAGACGTAAGAGGTGAGATGAGAAAAATCAGCTGTAGAGTGAAAATCGCTCTGGTGCCCTATCATTCTGCAAGAGAAACAAAACCAACAAAAACTCCTTGGGGAATGATACGGAGCCCAAACTGGCCCCCACACACCCCTGCTGAGACGGTGCAGCAGCGTGCACAAATGCCTTTACGACACATCCTATTGGTTCTTTCCACCCAAAACTATTAATATACTTTCCTCTTCCATTTTCTCCACTTTTGAAAACATCACCCCACATCTGCATAATACTTTACAGTTTACAGAAGTATTTTTCGTCCATATTCTCTCATTAAATCTCCGCAGCAACCTTGTGGGGCAAACAGTGGCACCAGAACGAAATGCTAAGAATGGAGCCTGCGAATCCCATGGGGAGCCCAGCATTTCGTCCCTTCCGCAAATCTTCGCTGAGCGTTGACTGTGCGCCTGGCCCCGTGCTGTGTGGTGAGGAACCACAAACGTCCTCTGTGTCCCGACACCCTCCTCAGGTCAGGCCCTCGGGGGTTAACATGAGGTCCCATCACACCTCACAAAGAGGACAGAGGTGCACTCTGCACGGAAGCACCTGGGGGTTACGCGTCAGGGCGCCCCTCCCCCATGGCAACGTATGATTCGGGATAAAGCAGCCTCATGCCCAGAAAATTTATGAGTCTTCGGATGCTTTCCAGAGCCTTATATAATTCTCTGCAGAGCTGTCTCATTCTTGATAGGAAGCCAAAAGGAGAAAAATCATTTAAGCAAATGTTTTCCATCAATACGTTCTTTTTAGAGAAAGGAAGCTTAGTCCTGAGGGCATAGCCCAACGTGGATACTCAGAAAGTAGTTTTCTATTTCTGTATGTATTTGGCTGGAAGTAGAATTTTACACGATACAAAATGAAGCATCAAGAAACTAAATCAACAAGACACAAAGTGAGGCCAATCAACTATGTCTTAAGCTACGTATGAGCTGTTGTGGCTTTACCAATCAGAAATTTGAGTCAGTGGGGGAAAGTGTTTCTCTACAGCATACCTTCATCTCCAAACGACCTGATATTTCTTAGATCCTCTGGACAAACCCTACTGGGGAAATGCCAAATATGACATATCAATAGCAGTCTGAAGAGGGTTAACAAAATGAAGTTGTACAGCCAGCCTGGCCAATCAGAATCCCATCAGCAAAAAGAAAACAAACGAGAAATAAATACTGCCTCGACTATGCCTAAGAAGCTAGCAAAAAATGGTGCACGAGGGAAAACATAATTAAGAAAGGAAATATGGCTGGGAATCCTATGCAACGGTTAAAAAGGCCTGTTGGCATAGAAAGTTGTTCACAGAAAATTAGGTGAAGAGAGAAATTACAAAGTACCGTATGTGAATGATCCTGATTTTTTTTTCAGTACTTATTAGGGTAGGTGGGTGTGTATTTCCTTTTACCTACACAGATTCGCAACACTCTAAAGTATAGAAGAGTATTCGGTTTGGGGTGGTATTAATTTTCTATTACTGCCATAGTAAATTACCACAAACTTGGTTGTTTAAACCAACACAAATGTATTCTCAGGACTCTGGAAGTCTAAATTCGAGGTGTTGGCAGGGATGAGCTCCTTTTGGAGGCTTCTGGGGAGAATTTGTTTCCTTGCCTTTTCCAGCTTCTCAAGGCCACCCGCGTTCCTTGGCTTGTGGCCCCTTCTTCCATAGTCTAAGTCAGCAGCCTAATAGCATCTTCTCCTCTCTACGGCCTCCTGCTTCCCTCTTACTCTTGTGAGACGTCAAGGCCACGGGAATGACCCATGATAATCTCCCCACCTCGAGATCCTTATCTCAATCACATCTGCAAAGTCCCTTGTAGCCTATAAAGTAACATGTCACAGGTTTGCGGGGACAGGACATGGACGCCTTTTGAGGTCACTCTTCCGCCACATGACAATGTTTATTCCTGGGAACTGGGATTATGGGAGATTTCTGTTTTCTTTGGTTATCTGTATTTTCTTTTAATAAAGTGAACAGGTATTATTTGCGTAATTTTTAAAAGAGAGTTTGCTATTAGGGTGACGAAAATGTTCTGAAGCTGGAGTAGGGTGATGGTCACTAAAAGTCAGAATTGCATACTTAAAATGGGTGAATTTTCTGGTATATAACTTACGCCACAGTAAAGGTGTTAAAAACCAAACACCCAAAAAGGGGGCTTTGTAATTCGAATGGCTCAACAACAAATTTTAATTTATACGCTGAGAGAGAAAATAAATACAGCACGACGTTAACAACTGGTCAAACTACAAGTTCACTGTACTGTTCTTTCAAATTTGGTGTAGGTTTAAAAGTTTTTCAACAGGAAAAGGAAAACGGGCAGAGGGGACAAGGTGGGGGCAACAGAGCATCTCTAGAAACTAAAGCTGTTTGGGCCTTCGAGGCTGAAGCTGGAACCCATCTTGGCTCCCAGAAGCCCGGGTGGCTTGGACCCAGCCTGGTTGGTGCTGCTTCCTTAGTTCAGCCTGAAGAAGGCGGCCACACTCACCTCGCCCTTCCTCGCCATACCCCAGGTGAGGCGGGACCACGATCCTCCGCTTCTCGCCAATGCACACACCGAGCAAACCTTCATCCATGCCAGCGATCACGTAGCCCTGCCCGATGTACGTGTCAAAGGTGCGGTTCCTGGAGTAGCTGGAAAAGAAACGCACGAGGTCCCTCAGCAGAGGCACCGCAGCAGAAGTCGGCACGGCGAGCCCGCGGGAACACGGAGGCCTGGCACCCCGGAAGAGGGTGAGCCTCAGACCCTGGGGACACAGCCACGACACGCTCCTCTGAAACAGAGAACGAGAAGCCAGCACCGCGCTGCCAGCGACAGGCCTCCAGCCTTCTGGTTAGGTCAGGTCCTGAATGGGATGCGGTGACAGGGAACAACCATGAGAATGGAGCTACTGTAAGTTGGACCATATGCCCGTAACCGCGTCAAGTTAATGAAAAATCATCAAAAATCAGCCCCTACCAGCAATGAAGAATGTGTCCAAGGACAATGTCCCCAGTATCCAAAGGGGAGAACAGCTGTACATGTGGCACACAGATATTTGGACTGCCGGAAAAACGCACATATACCAAGAGCCAGCTAACTCCGCAGTCTCCACCAAGGCCTGGATGAGTTCTCCCTACTGCAATGCCCGCTCACCAAGCTACCTTCTGGTGAGTACTTGGGTTTCTCAAATGCCAATGGCAGGAGGCCCAAGCATTCCGCTCGGTGGAGAGATCCAGCCTCTGCGTAAACTGCCAATTGAGACCGAATACTCTGGGTTTGGTGAGAATAAGAAATGATTCCCCAAAGCCTGATGATTCCAGAGTAAAATAATAAAACTTCATCTGCCACGTCTACTACCCAACTGTGAACCACAGTGATGTGCACCGATCCCCCACCCCCACCTGGTACAGAGCCTGGCCTGAAGGAGCCGGTCACTTTCACCATGACCTCATCAAATACAGCCAAAGGATGACTGCCTCAGAGAAGGCAGCCAGCTGAGTGAGGAGATGGCAAAATTGTGACAGGCTCTTCCTTCTCAACACCCCTCAGACACCACAAAGCCAAGGGGCGTGAAGAAATGATGGTAACAGATGACTCTCCTCACCCGGGAAGCAGATTATCTGCACAACCCTCCTGGAGAAGCCTGTGGAGCAGGAGCATTGAGCAGCTTCAGACCCCATCCCCCCTCAGGGGCCAGGAAGACCAGGATGGGAACACGGCGGCTAAGGAAGGGCAGGCTTGGCTCTCCAACCTCCCACGTTCCCCACGTTGCTGCTTCTCCAGCGGGTGCGTGGCGAGCATCAGCAAAGAGCGGCTCACCGCTAGCCATTTGGGGAAGAGGAGGGTACCTGCAGGATGGGATCCCTTATAAAGGGACACCAGACAGTGGGAGAGATGGCAGGCGCCTTAGAGGAGGGAAGAGCCACCAGCTGGAATAGTCAGCAAAGGTTCCGTGTGGTTGGGGGGGGAGCGGACCCAGGGATATGGGGACCAGCACGAGGGAAGAGCACTGGGGTAAGAGAGGGCAGAGGCTGGAGGCAGGAAAGAGCTTCAGCAGAGGCTGGAGGGACAGGCTGGGCTCTAAGTATGGAGAATTTTAAATAACTTCTTAAGAAGACTTAAATAAATGGAAAACCATCGTGTTCCCCATGGGAAAGCTGAGAATTATAAAGTTGTCGATGTCCCCCAAACTAATTTACGAACTTTAAAACAATCCCAATCAAAACCTGAGTGGTGTGTACAGGGGAGCAGGGGACTCTAAAATTCATTTGGAAAAAGAAATGATCAAGAATACCGTTCTGAAGGCACAGCATATAGCAAGCTCTCATTCCTGTAAAACTTTAAAACAAGGGGACACGTATTTCACTGTGTATATACGGAAGACCTGTGAAATTCTTAACACTGGTTCCCTGTGAAAAGTAGAACTGGATGTCTGAGGGACAAGAATAGGGGGGAAATTCTTTATTGTTTACCTTTTTATACTTCTAGGATTTGAAACCATGTCAATGTAGCACTTAGAAAATAATGTTTAAAACAAGAAAAAGAATACTCTCTATCATATAAATTAAAAAACTACAATAAAGACATGATAGTGGCCCGGGAACAGCTAGACCAATGAGAAAAGACCCAAAAGTATATTTAAAAATTTGGTACACAATAAAAGTCAGATTTTAGATGAGTAAGGAAAAAAAAAACCAGTTATTTAATAATGGGTGTTGGACACACTAGCTGACCATCTGGAAAAAATAGTTAGGTCCTTATTGTCACACTGAATACCAAAACAAATTCCAGATGGACTGAAGATTTAAACATGAAAGCATTTATAAGTATGGGGAGAGACTGAAAGGTTATTAATATTTATCCTGGGCAGTGAGAATAGACGGGTTGATGAGAAAGTATTACATTTTATTATATATCTTTATATTGTTTCATTTTACAAAACAACATAACACTTCATAAAATAAAAATTCTAATAAAGAATATTTTACAGGGTAAAAAAAAAAACATTCAAAGGGTATGAGGAAAATACAGGCAAATGTTTATATACTCTAGGGGAAGGGACAGACTCTTTAGCAAGTCACCAAAAATAGAATATATAAGAATAAAGGAAGCCATAAAAGAGGAGTGGAATGTATTTAACAACATAAAAAGTTTACATTTAAATAGGTCAAAAATCACAATGACCAAAATTAAAATGTAAATAAATAGGGGACATGCTTTCAACAATATACAACCATAAAAGGGTTAAAATCTTTAATGTATAGAGCAGTGCTCCCCAACCTTTTTGGCACCAGACGGGTGCTCCTGTGAGAATCTAACACCTAATGATCTGAGGTGGAGCTGAGGCGGTGATGCTAGAGCTGGGGAGCCGCTGCAGATACAGATGAAACTTCACTAGCTCACCTGCAGCTCGTCTCCTGCTGTGCAGCCCCGTTCCTAACAGGCCAAGAACATTTACAGGTCTGTGGCATAGGGGGTGGGGACCCCTGGTATAGAGTCTTCAACTCAATAAGAAAAGATAAATACCAGTACCCTCAACATAAAAACAGGCAAAAGACATAAACAGGTAAATCACAAAAGAAGATATCCTAATAGTCAATAAATATTTGAAAGAATTTTAACCTTAATAGCAATCAAAGAAATTCAGATTAAAGCTATAGGTTTCCATTTTTCATCTTTAAATTAGCAAAGATTATTTTTAAATGATACTCAGCGTTACCAAGTTTCCAGGAAATGGGGCACTCCTAGACAGTGATGGAAAACCTTGCTTGAGGACAACTTTGTAGTGAATGTCAAAAGCTATAAAAATACACAAAACCTGATCCAGAGATTCTTCTAGAAATCTATCCCAAGGAAACAATTAATCATATACTTTAAAATTTAGCTACAAAAATAATTACTGCAACCATCCCTAGAAAGTCAAAAGGTAGAAAACAACAGAGAATGATTACCTAAATTAAGGCAAATCTATACAACAGAATATTATTTAGCTGTTAGAACAGGCTAAATCCTAATGTACTAAGATAAAAACCTGTTTGAAACATAAGAAAACTGTGATTCCATTAATATGGGGGAAAAATCTGGTATCTGCTAGAAAAATGGTCCTTCAATTTGAAATATTCCAGGGAATAAAGGATAGAACCAAGTTCATACGTGACGAGGAATAATACACACACACACACACACACACACACTCTCTCTCTCTCTCTCTCTCTCTCTCTCTCTTTCTGGAGATTTTGGTAATAGAAAACGAGTGAAAACAATTCAAATGTTCATCAATAGGAAATGGTTAAATAAATATGGCATATTCACCCAATAAAACACTAGACAGACATAAAAAAGTCAATGATTCCTTTCTATGCATGAATATGGAAAAATTCCAAGGTGGAAAAAAGCAAGAAGCAAAATATACAGTATACACACTCTACATTATATTCTATAAGCTATATACTACAAAGGGGAAAAAATAAGACAACATTTATATTTGCTTATATGTGCAATAGAAAAAATCCACACACCAGAAGAATGAAAAAAGAAACTTATTAATAAAAGTGGTTACCTCTAAGTGTCCACGGGGGATTGTGAGGTAGGCAGGGACAGGTGGTACAAAATATCTCAATGAATACTTTAATTTTGAACCATGTGACTATTACCTTTTCCCAAAATATCAAAGGAAAAATTTAAAAGAAGAGATCCTAGGGGTAGGAAAATGAATTATTCAAATAAAATAATACCATATAAAAATTCTTCTGTAATGTGTCTCAGTGACTAAATTGACTTGAAGTCTATTACCTCAGAGAGACAGGTAGACTGCTGTCACAATTTGTTTGCTCTACAGTAGTTTCCAAACAACACGTGCCACTTAAGGAGGGAGACATACCAAACACCAGGCATGCCCCAGCCACCTGCAGGCTAAGCCTTATAAACACAACACAACTATGAATAACAGCAGAGGATGGCTAATAAGCCTCTGCGCAGCAGGAAGGAAGCTGAATGCCTCCAACCACTCACTCCCACCCCAGAAGATAAGCCTTTAAACTTTGCAGAGCACTTTCATCTACCTTATCTCTTTAATCTAACCATCTCTTTGAGAAAGGTGCTAATCACAGGTAAAAAATCTGAAGCTCAGGAAGGTCAAATGCTATCCAAAGTCACACAGCCAGTGGGCCACGCACAAGGATTAGAACCCAGGTCTCCTGGTACCAAGTCTGTTCTCCTACAGCCTGGACCTCCCCTCTGGCCACTTCCCATCTTGGATGCCATAGCTGGGTTTAATGCTTAGATAGCTGAGCACTGTATAGGGGAATGGTAGGCATCTAGAGTGAGCCTCTCCTGTTGACCTGCAGATTCAGCTCCCACAGGCCGCAAGGAGACAGTTCTACTACCCTCTGAAGGAATTCGGTATCAGAAAACATAAACCTGGATTGGATGAAAATACCAACTCCAAGTCAGCATTGACAGAGTATTTAGATCGCGGTCCAGCCAGTAGTGTATCTTTAATAAGACATTCTGGTGAGTGAAGGCTCCGACCATTTCCTCACCTGGAATCAAAGAAGGTGCCGTCCAGAAGTGTGCCATTATAATGATACCTGAGGAAGTCCCCACTCTGACTTCGCCGCTCACAGTTTTCAGGTACTACCTTATTCTCAATGGAAATGCCATCCTTGGGGTTATGAAGGTCCAACAACGCAACATCAAACACGAGAGGCCTGCCCAG